ACACACACACACACACACACACACACACACACACACACACACACACAAATAATGTGCTTCAGAGCAATTTAAGACACTCAAGTTGACTCTGCCCTTCCTCAATATGCATATACTCCAATACATACCCTCACCCTACCCCACCCTACCCCACCCGACCCTGACCCCACAAGAAATCACGGATGATCCTGGTTTGGAGCTAAGTGCCTGCCCTGAGCTCCCACAGAGAGGACTAAAAATCAAAATAAGTCACTCTGTCTGAAGATCTTCATTATCAAATAAAACTCAACTGTTTACCTGAACACTTAAAAAAAAAGCCAGAAAAGCGAGATAACAGATTTATTTTCTAAATGGGTGTGTTTCAGTCTAAATGATAACAAAGGGCCCCCCTCATCCTTACACACACACACACCATGACCCTTGGGGCCGGACAGGGAGCTTCTTAGCAGAGAGTTTCATGGTTTAGCTTTGGGTTTGATTCCTCAGGATGGGAGCGGGAGCAGCCTTAAGTAACCCAGTGTTAACTGATCAGCTACTTTCCCATAGTTCTGTTTCTGTCCAACTATACCAGGAAGGCCGCTTTGAAATGTTCAATGTGCTTTTGTTCTTTGTTCTGACTTTGGTTAGCCCCTCTCTGTTTACACAGCCAACCTCCTTCACACAGCCTGCCACTAACTCAGTTTTATGGAATGTGGTGTCCTAGGAGTAAAAAAAGGTGGTTAAGAGGTGGCTCTGTCCCTGCCTAACAGGCATGAAGCCTGTGTTTGATCAGCAGAAGTCACATAAACAAGACTGGTGGCTCAGGACTGTGATCCCAGAACTGAGGAGATACAAGGAGAGGACCAGAAGACAAGGTCATCCTAGGCTTAATGAGATCCTGTCTTATTTACTAAAAAAAAAAAAAAAAAAAAAAAAAAAGAAAAAAGAAAAAAGAAAAGAAACGTTAATAAACGACATTGCTGTAAATTTGGTTTTAACTTTTTTAAGTTTATGAATAACATTTTTAAACTATTAAGTATACATTTTGCCTACATGTTATGTATATGCACCGAAACTATGCTCAATGCCCAAGAAGGTTAGAAGAGAATGTCAGATTTTTCTGGACTGGACGTTGTAAGCTGCTATGTGGGTGCTGGGTATAGAATCCAGGTCTTCAGCCAGAGCAGCAAGTGCTCTTAACTGCTGAGCCATCTTTAGTTCCTAACTTAGTTCTTTGACAGAACAAAAACTTGGACATGAATAATTTATGGCAGCGTTATTCACAACAGCCAAAATGTCTCTAGTAAGTACCCAGCAACAGAGGAACAGGCGCTCCATCTATATACTGAAATGTTATTTGGCCATGAAAGAAAAGATCTGTGGGCTGGGGATGATAAAGCTCAGTTGGTAGAGTACTTGCTCAGCACACAGGAAACCCTGAGCTTAATCTCCAGTACCACAGAATCCAGGCATGGTGCCATGAACCCAGGAGGGGGAAGCAGAAGAATCCTCAGCTACACAGTGAGTGTGAGACCAGCCTCATAGTGAGTGTGAAATCCTATTAGAAGGACTGGGAGGAGGAGGAGAAGGAGGAAAAAGAGAAGAATGGCT